CCCCTCACGCGCCCGCCCCCGCCCGCCAGTCGTGCTGACGGGCAACGTCGGCCGGGACCTGGTGCCGCGCCGCGTCGGCAACAGCATCGTCGCCTCCACCAGCCTCGCGATCCCCGCCGGCACCGGCCCCCAGGGCGAGAAAAAGACGCATTGGTGCGCCGCGCGGCAACTCCAGACCCGCTCCTGCGCTCCCCTGCTCGTACGCGCCGCCGCGCTGACACAGAGACCCACAGATTGTACCCACCGGATCCAGAGCGGCTGGCGTTTCTTGCAGGCAGCCCACGCCCGCCGGCCGGCCCCGCCGCAGGTTCAATCTGGAGATTTGGTCGCCGCTGGCGGACCAGGCGGTTGCCGCCGTTTTCAAGGGGTCCAGAATCGTGGTCCACGGCCGCCTCAAGCTCGTGAGTCGCCAGGGCCTTGGATTTTTAGTCCTGACTGCGACGCGTGTGTGCACAGCCCCAGCGGTGCCGCCTGCAGCCGAGGCGACCGTTGTGCCGGTGCAGGCTTTCCCGCCACCGCTTTCCAGCTGCCGAAGCCTCCCCTCTCCTCCCTCTTCCTGGCAGCAGTCAGCAGGTGTCATTGGCCTGTGCTGCTGTATCGTGCTCGCGCGCGACCTCGGAGGGGGGGGGGGAGCCCTCTTGTTGTGCGCCGCGCCCACCGAATGAATGCCCCCCGGCCACTCGCCTTACCACCTTGTCACCCGCAGGACAAATGGAATGACAAGGTCACGGGCGTTGAGAGGGAAGCCGTGAAGGTGACCCGCTGCAGCAGCTGCGCAGCCCTGCGTGGCTGCGCTGACCCGACCATGCCGTGTGTACGCGCACGTGTGCGTGTGCGCGCGCGTGTGTGTGTGTGTGTGTGTATGTGTGTGTGCATGCATGCACGCGTGTGTGTGTAACTGAGTGTGTGTGTGTTCGCTTGTGCGTGCGCGTTTGCGTGTGTGTTTGTGTGTTATCTGCGGATGCGTCGAGTGCGTGTGTTCGCTGTGCGGAGGCTTGCTTGTGTGGAGTGACCCTGCCCACCCCGGCTCCGCGCCATCCTGGGCGCCTGCCGGGCCGCTCACGCGCGCACACTGGGGCTTGCCTGGCGGCGTCGGCAGCGCGGCCGACAGGCAGCCGTTGCGGGCCGCCTGGAAAACACCACCGCGCAGTCAGCAGCCAGCCACACCGTACACATCACAATCAGCTCCGCAACCCATGCGATGCGATGTGCCGTGCAGATTGTTTGTGAACAGATTGGCATCGTACGCCCGCCACTGCCGCGGGCTGGGGACACGGGCTACCCGCCTCAGCCAGTCTATACCGCCCCCGTGGCGGCTGCGGCGCCCTGGGGCCAGCAGCCGGCGGCGGCGGCCCCGCAAACCGCATGGGCCGCGCAACCCGAGCAGCCCGCCGCCGCCGAACCTTGGGAGCAGCCGCCGCAGGCGTACGCCGCACCGCACCCGCCACAGTATCAGGCATGTGCACCGCCCCAGGCGCAGCCCCAGGGGTATGGCCTGCCGCAGGCTCAGTATGACGCGTACGTGCAGCCGCAGGCGCAGCCTCAGACGTTCGGGCAGGCGCAGGCGCAGCCCCAGGGGTATGAGCTGCCGCAGGCGCAGGCGCAGCCACAGGCGTACGCCCCGCCTGCACAGGCGCCGCCGCCGCCGCAGTCTGCGCAGGCGTGGGCGCAGCAGCCTCAGCAGCAGCCGGCCCAGCAGCAGCCGCCCCAGCAGCTGCCGCAGCAGCCCTATGTGGCCGCGGGTCAGCTGGGCCTGCCGCACCCTGATGAGGTGACCGATCCCCACGAGGCATTGTGGCTGTCGGTGGTGACGTCACCGCAAGACTGGTGAGCGCACGCGCGCCTGGAACTTGCTGGCGGGCGGGCGGGCTGGATGCTGCTGCGTGCCTGGCGCCGCTGGGGTGTTGGTTATGATACACCATCTAGTGTCCTGAATGGGCAGGAGCCGTCGACAAGGGAGCCTCTGGCTGGGTTGCCATCACAGGGCCTCGCTGTGAAGCGTGGAAGCTTAACACAGCGCTCGCAGCAGCGGCTCAAAACTCGCATCCCTGCACCCCCCCGCTACTCGCCGCTTTCCCTGCACCAGGTGGGACAACCGCACGGTGAGCACGCGCGGGCGCGCCGCGGCAGGGAGCCAGGCATGGCGTGCTTGGTTTCGAGGCCAGTGCATCGGGCCTGAACTTTCATCGCTGCCCTGCACAACTCGCAAAGCCTGGCTTTGCCTTCTTCTCTGAGACGCATGTTTCAATCATCATCTGGCCCCCGCTGCCTGCGCAGAACAAGCGCAACCCCAGAGCGCCAGACTTCAAGAGCCGGAGCACCGGGGACGCGCTGTGGCTGAACGACAAGAGGGGGGTCCCCGAGTGGGCGCGGGCCAACCTGCCCCCGCCGCAGCCCCCGCGCGGCGCGGGGCGCTGAGCGCGCGGCCCTGGCGGCGCACGGCGGCGGCAGAGCCCCTGTCGGAGCCTGCGTGCCGGCCATCGCGCGCCGCGCCGCGCCGAGCGGCAAGAAGCGTCTGACTCCTGCTGTTCCTCGCCAGGGTCCCCGGGGGCTGGTGTAGGTACCTGTGATATCCGAGCGGCGCGTCGGGCCCTGCGGTCTGTGTCTGCTCACAGCCTCGTGCTGAATCCACCCTAGCGTTGAAAATGTCCGCCTGTCGAATGGATTGCGCCTGGGGTTTTGACCTCTGAGCCCTGAACCCTAGGCCGCAAGAGTATAGCAGGAGGGGTGGAAGCTGCTTGTAACGCGTTACACCGCTCTTGACTGATGTGCGTCGCGCGCCCCTGCGCGCTGCGCTGCGTGCCTTGCAGGGAATTCCCTCGGCGGCGGGCCCGGCAGCGCGGACGGATGCGGCCGTGCGAATTGCATTCGGAAGCATCAAATGTGCGTTGGTCAACTCTAATCTGGGCATCCGCCGGCAGGGCGCCGCGGCGAGGTGGCCGCGCGGGCGCCGGGGTTGGTTGGCCCTCCCGAGGTTGATTTGGGCCCTCATTGGGCTGTATGGGTCAAGTGCGACTAAGCGCTCGCGCGATTCATTTAGTGGTGAGAACTACTGCGTATTGCTGGTCGAACGGCCGCGGGGGCGCCGCGTGGCGATGCGCCGCCTGCAAAAGCGGGTCGCGGCGACAGCCCGCGCGGGCCGGCGCGGCGCGCTTGCCGCGGCGGACTGTCTGGACTAAATGTTGCAAATTTCAGCAGCGAGGCATCGCTGGCATCAATCGGGCCCGCTCGGCGCGCGCCGGGCCGGGCAATCAAGGTCTCTCTGGCGCGCAACGCGGGTGCGCGCGGGAGGTCAGGAACGCCGCGCGAGCGCGCGGGGCAGGCTAGCAGGTGTGTGGTGCAGGGCTAAGCGAACCCGCCGGCATCAGGCGGGAGAGGCTATCTGACAAAGGAAAGGCAGTGCGTTTTGCAGGTGGGAGAGAGAAAATGGCCCCGGTGGGCTTGAAGGATGCGCGGCTGCCGCGCGCCGCGCGAGCGCACGTCTGCAGGACGCCGTCGCGGGGCGCGGGGGCCGGGCGCGCCCGCGCGCCCGCGCACATGGCGCCCTGCCATGGGCAAACGGGACGCGGCGCACGGGGCAAGTGCAAGCGCGGCAACGTGCGTCGGGCGGCGCGGCCGCAACGGGGCCGCAGAGGCAGGAGGCTGGGGCGGGGCGCCACAAGGACTCAGACCAGGCGGGCAGCACAACAATGTCAGCAAACACTGATGCATGGGTGGCAAAAGCGGCAACGTCCGACACTCACCACCCCTTGAGCAAAGGGGCGCCGCTTCGAATGCACCCGAAAGTGGACAGGGGGCGCCAGAAGGCGCTGGTGCGCGCGGGCTCGCCCGCGGGCGGGCAGCCGGGTGTGACGAGGGCGGCGGCCGGGTAGCACTGGGCCCGCGCGATATTAACAGGGGCAAAATGCGATGCCGGGGCCGCCGGGGACAACACTGGGGCAGCAAACTGGGACCGCAGGATACAGAGGGGGAGGGGGGCAAAATGTGGCTGTGACATGCGCGGAGGGAGGGGGCAACGCGCGCGCGGCGCGGCGGCGCTGCACTTTCGTGCGCGGGAGGAGTGCGGATGGCGGTTGTCGGGTCGTGCGCGGCGCCGCCGCATGCGCAGGCGCGGCCGCCGCGCTCCGGGCGCGGCGCGATTGCGGTCTGCTGCCGGCTCTGAAATCCACTGCGTGAACTTCGCTAGTACAGCTCGGTGTATCGCGGGCTTGAGCCGCGCGTGCGGCGCCGTATCGCGCAACGCACGAATTTCCAATGTGCAGATGTAGTGAGGTTTTGTTGGTTGCTGACCGGGCCCCGGCGAGCGGCCGCCGCCTGGCTGCCTGTGAATGTCCCGCTTGCCTCGTCAGCCCGAGACGGACTTTCCAGTGTAGGTGCCCCTATCAACCAAAAAGTCCGGCGGCATCGGCGCGGACTCAAGCCCCAAGATCAGCCCCTGCTGCGCGCCTCCCAATGCAGACCACGGGTGCTGCTGTTGCTGCTGCTGCTGTGTGGCGCCATCCGCCGGCGTCACCGACGACGTGTCCATAGGCCAGTCCCCGTCAGCATCGCGGCTGCTGCTGCTGGACGACCGCCGCAGGTCGCGCTGCTGCTGCTGCTCCTGCTGCTGCTGCTGCTGCCCCTGCTGCCACGGCGCCGCGTCCCCGCCGCGCGCCGCCTGCTGCCACCGCACCCACGCGGCGACGTCGTCGGCAGGCATGAGGAGGGGGCGGCCACCGCCGTCGAGCAGCTGCGGTGGGAAGACCTCCCGATAGTAGGTGCAGTCGCGCCCGCAGGACGGCGCGTAGGGCGGGGTAAGCACGTCCAGCACCGCGCAGGGGCTGAGGGCCGTGAACGAGTGGATGT